CGTTTGTCGTTCTATCCTTCGTTCTTTCTTCTCTCTCTTCTTGTGTGTGTGTGTGTGTGTGTGTGTGTGTGTGTGTGTGTGTGTGTGTGTGTGCATCCGTCACGAGGTGGGACCACAGAAACCGCATTTCTGGTGCCTCGCACGGAGCAGTGCAGCTGCGGGAGAGGCGATAATGATTTTTCTTGGCGAGTTGGTCTGTGAGGGATGCCGGAAGATTATCTCCTACCCGCTAGGGGCCATCAGCTGCCGCTGCCGCAACTGCAACACCGTCAATGCAGCGCAGAATATGCACCTTGAGTGCGGCTGCTGCGGCCAGTCCATTCTCGTGCCCATTAACACTCTGACATTTCTCTGTCCCTGCTGCGCCACCGTGACGGACATTCCGCAGTCCCTCCTGCCGCTTCTCGAGGAGCCGGTGGATTCGGGTATGCACGGGGATCAGGCGCGTAAGACAATCTACGTCACGTACCCGCAACCAGGCTCCCACAAGGGCGATGTGAAGGAAGGGGAACAACGTCACAAGTCCCGCGAGGAGGAGGGGTCGACGGCTGAAGAGGAAGAGTCCTCAGTGAATGAGGAGGAGGAGGGTCATCAGCGGCGGCGACTGCGACAACGAAAGTCGCCACCCGTAGTGGTGGTGGGGACGCGAATACTTTGAGCGTGTGAACCGATTTTCTCTTCTTCTTGCACACGTGGTGAGAGGGCTTCTCCCTTTGCACCCACTGCTCCCCTCCTGTTTATATGCGATACCTCACAGGTTCGCGGAACAACGCGTGAATCCCGCCTGCTAAGCGTGAGACGGTAGCGAGACCGCTGAGCTCCAAACTGAGCCCCCGCAATGTACCTATGCGTGTGAGTGTGTGCATATACGTGCCGTTGGCGTCTGAGCTTTATGACTCACTTGTGTGTGAGACTGAGGACCGAGATTATCCCCCAACTCATTCGCACACGCATGTTTTCTCACAAGCACATACATACACGTTTGGATCGACTCATCCTTTGCATGAGTCTGCAACATATGCATGCTGTCTGTCGCTTTTGTAGAACTCATTGTGATTTTTGACGGATAAAAGTTGTGGATCTGTGTGTCTTGTCTTGTTGTTGACACGTTGTGTCTTTGTTTTTGCTTGCTTTGTTTTGTCACTTTTGTCATGTTAATATATTTACTTTATTTGCCTTCGTTGTGTTCGTGGGATGCACCACCAAATTGTATGTGTGTGTGTGGGTGGGTGTTCCTCACTTCCCCTTCCGTGTGTGTTCTGCTTTGGCTTCTTGCGTGCGTGTGTGTGTGGTGCCGCCGCCTTCTGTATGAGGGGGCAAGGCGCAGTGGACGAGGCTCTGCCGCGGTTCACCCAAGGGAACTGCGCGGAGAGGGAAAAGAAACGTTTACCAGAAGAAAAAGGATAACAAAAAAGGAAGGAATGTTTCCCACACTCGTGGCGCTGGACCACGCGGTGCGAGACGTCGCTGCCTTTGTGCAGCAGCGGCAGGGCCCGTCCGTGACGACGACGCTGACGCTAACGCCGACCGTGGCTCCCGCTCTCGTCGCGCGCCTTCTTAACGGCATTGAGGAGGCCTTTGCGCCCGACCCGATGGTTAATGCCGCGGCGTTTTTTGAGGGCGTTGCGATGCCGCTGCTGCACCGTCTTCCACGGCGGCACAAGACACACTTTCCAATGGAGGAGACGCTGCGGGGACAGCACCCAGACGCCGCTCACGCATTTCGCTGTTGGGTGGTGCACAGCCTCAACACGGTGGATGCCCTATACGAGGCGGCGGCACTGCTGCTCGTGGGGCTTATCGTCAGGGACACCGCCGCAACTGCTGTGGGGCAACAAAGCACGGTTGTCGGTGCTAGTACTGGTAGTGCAGAAGAGAAAGTGGAGGAAGATGCCTCACAGTTTAGGACAGAGCGGTTGCAACGGCTGCAGGAGTGTTTGGGGCCCCACGCAACCCTCCTTAATGCGGGTTATGTAACGCAGCTGCTGTTACTGCTGCCAAAGATGTGGCATCCACTTCACCAGGGCGGCGGCGCTGCCGTGGACGGGAGAGGTATGATGGTGCAGTACTGCCTGTCCTTAGCCGAAGCGTTGCCGCTATTCCGTGAGGCGCCGCGGCCAGTGCATGTGGAGCGACTGCGGCTACACCAGCGACGAAGGAAGAGACGATGTGTGTCGTCTGCTGCTCCTGCTCCTGCTCCTGCTCCAGCAGCGGCGGCAGCGGGGCTCATGAGTGAGGGATATTCATCGCAGTCAACCAGGAGGGCGGCATCGACGATCCGCGTATCAGGGAGCAAAAGCGCGGAAGAACATGAGGCGTCGGATGCCGTGCTGCCGTTGTCGTCATGTCTGAAGGACATCATGCGCCCGCAAGCCGGTAGTGAGGGTCACGCGGGGGTGGATAGGCCTCAGCGCCGCTGCGCGAGAGGCAGTAGGAGGAACTGTCACTGGGACGGGAAGGAGGTAGGGGAGTATTGCTACGTGGCTGACGCAGCCACACAGACGCCACTCCGCGACGCGCACGGTAATTGCCATGAAGTGAAAGCTGGTGATCACGACGATATTGAGAACGATAATGCTGCGGCAACGACAACGCCGCAATCAAAACCCCCTTTACTAGAGTGTGTGAGGACAAAGTGTGACAAACTTTATTCTCAAAGCGTCGGCACAAATACGTCGCACCCCTCCTCCTTCATGACATTTGTGGAGATGCTGGATGCGCAGGAGCAACTTGAGCGCGCCCGCAAGACCCTACAGCGTAAGGAAGAAAGTCTACAACTGCGTGAGTGTGGCCTGGTGGAGTTGGAGGATGACTACAAGGAGAAGCTGGATATGCTAATTCATGTGCTTCATGGTGCGAGGGAACTATACAACGACCTTGTCATGGGTCCTATGGGAAGAGGTGGTGGAGCGACATGTGAAGCGGGTAATCTCACGGCCACAACGGTGCAGTTCCGCCTGCTCAACCTTGTTGAGGTTATCTACGGCACACCAGGTGGCGAAGCGGGGGATGAAGCCTCAGTGGCGGCAGTTGAGAACAAGAGGACGATTTCATCGGAGCCTATCCCAGACACACCTGCCTCACGCGCTGCCGCTAAGATGGTAATTGTTCAGCACCATGAGCGCCGACGGAAGCAGCTGCTGGAGGAACGCTGCCGTCTTGCCTGTACAGCGCCCGCGGAGGCCCCTGCTGAGGCTGCAGAGGCTCCTACTCCGCTTTCGCACGCGCTTGCGGAGGTCCCGCGTCCACTGCAGCTACGGCAGCAGGCATATCTCTGCCCTGGTTGTGGCACTGTCTTGGGTGAGAGCACTTCTTTTTTTTTTAGGCAGTGTAGGCCACGTCGATGTCACTACTGTACACAGATTTACTGTCATGAGTGTCATGTGAACCAAAAGGCGATTTTGCCGTTTCTCGTCTTAACGTCGTGGAACTTCACGCCTCGAAATGTCTGCAAACGTGACTATGGGTGGCTGCAGCAGAACTGGGGCGAACCGTGGTACACAATAGGGGACCGTGAGACGCAGGTGGAGCAGCGGCGGTGTTGTCGTGTTGTCGCGTTGCGGGATTCTGTGCGACTCGCAAAGGTACTTCGCCACTGGCTTCTACTGTGTGCGCGGATGGTACGGGGCTGCCCGGGGCCTTTCCCCGAGAAGGTGGTGGCGTCGCTGCAAAGCTACCACTCGGAGACAGATGTCATGTACTCCCTCAGTGACTTGAGCGGGATAAGGTACAGCGAGGAGGCTGGTGTCGCGGCGCGGGTGCTGCGTTGCGAACCTACGTCTCTGGTGGCGACAACCGTAGGGAGCGTCGTGAGTGCCGTATCTTCGTCTTCCGTGGCGCTTGGACGCTTCGTGGCGGCACGGAGTTCTGCGCGGAGCAATGGCGGCGTCGCAGAGGTGGTAGCAACGGCAACGAAGCGTCATGACGACTCAGCGCCGTGTGTGAACGGCGGCGCAGCACACGTGTCAACAGCGTCCGTTGCAAGCGACGTGAGCGTGGGTCATTCCTTTTCTACTTTCGTGTCGACAGCCACGTCGCGGGAAGGCGAGAAGCAGGACTTTCTGGACTACCTGGTGGCACAGATCCGGGTATTGGAGCAGCATCTGCACCGAGACTGCCCTATCTGCGTGGCACGAGCGACGACGGTGTGTGAGTTGTGTGGTGCCCGTGACGCGCGAGCGCGGCTGCCACTTGTTGACGCGGAGGTGTTTGGCGTGCGGCTGCTCGAGAAGACGGGGCCGCTAGTCGAGGAGGATACGCAGCTCGTGCGGCTGGCGTGTGTGGCGATGCAACTTGTGCGCGGCGATGGCGCAGCGGAGAACGTCGTCGTGGCCTGTAAGAGGTGCAGCACACGATACCATAAGGCATGCCTGGGACGGAGCCATTGCCCGCATTGCAGTTGATTATTTGGGAATGTTTCTCGCCCCTGTTTGTGGGATGGCGCCTGGGATTCAAAGATAAAACACACACACACAAGCAGAAGTAGCAGTTCTTCTGGAGATACCATGCAAGCAGTCAACTTCCATGTGTGTTTTTTTTTGCTTGTTTCACTTTTTTTTTGTTTTCACTTTGCGTGTGTCAGTGTATTTCTTCCCCTCTCTCTTTTTCTCTGTATTATATATAAATATATATATATATATATATTGGTTATGTGTCTGGTGTGCAGCGTACACTGTGGATAAACGAAGATGATTCTCTGCATGCGCTTTTCCCCTTCTTTCACTGCCACAAACCGACACATTGCAGATTAGATCCCTCCGACTGGGGTGTGGATGAGCGGGCGCATTTGCGTTTGGTGAGGCGACATGGCGGAGGCAGTACAGGAAGACATTGACAGGCTGGTGGATCACTACTTGGGCATCCCTGCGGCGTCCACGCAATCCCCAATGCCTCCTTCTGAGAATTATATTCCTGGTGTCCAGCCGCAGCACACGGACAGCTTCACGGGACGGCTGTTTACCAGTCAAAAGGAGCGCCAGCCTGGAGAGTACGAGTACGAAGAGGAAGAGGAGGAAGGCGATATTGAAGCCTTAGTGGAGAGCGTCCTGCGCGGGGAGCCTCACGACGAAGCTACGGCAGCTGCAAAGGCGCAGTGGGAGAGGCGAAACGAGAGAAGAGAGGAAGAGGGATATCCACAAGAGGAACAGCAATGCCCACCCATTAGACCTTTCAATGGAAGGCGCGATCGTCAACCTACGCGTTTCACATCGCTTCTGCCAAGCGGCGGCGGCGGCGGTGTTGACCGACAAGAGCATTTGTTTCGCCGCCTGATGCTGTGGCAGGAACGACGTGACGCCAAACGCCTGCAGGCCGTCTATGAGGCGCTGCTGCAGGAACAGGCGGCGTGCCCGTTCGAGCCGCGAGAATCGCTAACGCGGGGGGGAAGCATCGACTCTAACTTATCGTCCTGTATCAAGAAAGTATATGGGGCGGACGTTTTTCTGCAGCGGATGCGTGAGGCACGGGAGAGGCGGCTGCTGCTGCGACGCGCGGAGGAAGAAGAAGCGCGCCGCTACAGTGACACCTCCACGTGGAAGCCGCAGATGACGGTGCCGCAGCCGTTTACGCTTGGAAGGGCGCCACGCAGCGTGGCGGCCGCTGCGAAGAGGCGGGACACTTTTAAGCGGTACGCTGCGAGTATCCGGTCGAAACTGCAGAATGAACCGTCACAAATTGAGGGGCCATCAGTCCCCAGCGGGTTGTTTTCAGTCCCCTCCAGCGGGCTTCTGCTTTCGCACGTTCCGCCGCGCGCAGGTTTGCCGTAGCAAGTGACCCCGCCATGCTTCTCGTTGGGCCTGCAAACGACAGAACAAGCAGCCAAGAAAAAAAAAAAAAGTATTAACGTCATCTTTTCTGCCTTTATTCTCCTTCTTTGCCCTTATGTATGCGTTTCTGTGCTGCCACCTGTGACGCTGTCTTTGTTATTAGCGATGATGGTTCTTGCGGGTGGTACAGATGTGAGAAGTGGGGCTCGTTTACAGCTTCTTTGGTGATGACCCACTTACTTTCTGTTTGCATCACTCCCTCCCCCTCTTTCTCTCAACGGTGTTGCCGTCTTTCTTCTTGTTCTCCGTTGCAGGGGATCGTAAGGCACAACCCAAACCCGTTCCTGTTTGTTTGGCCGGCGTGTGGCGGGTACGAAAGCAATGCGTTCGCTGCAGTTGTGCCGTAGGGGAGGCGTTACCCCGCCGTTGTTGTGGCGTCTGCCACTCCTGCGGCGTTTGGCGCCGGCCTGGGCTGACGGAGGCATTGAGATTAAAAGAAGCCACGGTGCGCAGCGTGGCGGCTGTGTGTGTGCCATGCAAGTGGTGCTGCGGCAGCACAGCACCGCGCGCCCGTCGCCCGTTTCCCCTGGAGGAGGCGCAGGTGGTGCGAACGGGGGTCAGGCAGCCGCCCCTCGTGGCGATGCTGCGGAGGGGCACGGTGGCGGGGACAGCGCAGTTGTCACCTCCCTGCTTCCCGCTTCCGGAACACTTCGCACCGTCCGTCTTCACAACATGCCGCGCACCTGGTTGCACGAGGAAGTGCTGCAATTTCTTCATCAGGTAGCGGAGCACGCAGGTATCGCGCCTCCATCCAGTGCTGCAGCGACGGAGGCAGATGGGCACCGTCATGAGGAGGAAGACGCAGATGACGAGGACGTGACGTCGGCGGTGCCGCACGTCACGTCTCCCTTCGTCGCCCGCATGCACATCCCTTTTGGACGTCGCACAGGCATAGTCTACGGCGCTCCCATCATTCAGCTCACCTCTGAGGCCCTCGTTTGTTATCTGCTGAACGATCTGAGGTTTGACCCGGACGACTACCGCAGCCGTATTTACTTCACGGAGGTGGTGGGCGACATGCATCATGCGTTCACAACGACGGCGACGGAACTCACCGATGCGGAGGAATCTCTGAAGCAGGAGCAGCGGGATGCCCTTGAGACACTTGAGTTGGATCGCTACCTGATGGCCCCTGACCTGCTCTACGACATGGCGAAGATGCGGCAGCGACGACTCGTGACGCGGCGGTCAAAGCTGCTGCTTCACACCTTTGCCGATACGGAGAGTCCTGCAGAGGATGCAGCGGACGAGGCTAACGAGCACGAGGATGACCCGGCAAGTGAGTCTAAAGACAGACGGCTGACAGGGCAGAAAAAGTCGCGGCAAACGCTGCGGTGCGCTGGCGACTACAAGGAGCTGGGGCGTGGCTCTATACACAGTGTGCCACTTGCGCTGCCATACGTGCAGGGTCGTCGCGGTACATGATTGCATGGAAGTAGCTGCAAGAGCGGCGCCCTCACGCGATGCTGCCGTGTATTGTCTTCGAACGCGCAACGCCAATAACAGGACATCGTGGTGTGATATCGCTTCGTCTGCAACTGCCGCATTGCCAGCGCAGCCGGAAACACATAAACAGGGGCGGGAGTAGCTGTTGCGTTGACTTTTTCTTTCCTATTGCGTTCCCACACGTGCGTGTGTGTGTGTGTGTGTGTGTTTCTGTGTGTTTGTCTCGTGGTCTTGAAAGGGGGAGGCTAATATATATATATATATATATATATATATATCTCATATTGCTTTATTTGTGTTCATCATCACCGCCACACCGATGCTGTGCACAGGTGTTTATAGTTTTTCTTCTTTGTCTTTTTCTCTGTTCTTCTCACGGTGTGGAGTTGCTGTGGAACATACAGAGACCAAAGAAGCTAAGAAACGGTGTTGATTGGAGGAAGCGGTGCGCCTGGGTGCGTTGTATGTGCCCCGCGGGACGGCGTGGATGACGAACACGCCTTTTTCATCGCCACAGGACGATGAGCGGCTCCTGTCGATTTCCCCCCTCAGTGATGTCGGCCTTCCGGGGCAGCGGTCGCCGCGCGGCGCCTCCCTCGTGCGAAGAGCGTCTACGGAAGTGTCCTTCCTTTGCCACGGCGCGGCGCCGGCTCGGTGCGGAGCCTGTGTTTTGGGTTTTTCGTCAACCGCCACGAAGTGTTCGTTTGGCGTGCTCCTAGACGCAGACAGCACTGCAACGAAACATGCGAAGGAGCCGAAGAGCCATGTTAGATGCCGCGACCAATGCGCTTCTTCGTCGTCCTCTGCCGCCAGTCTTTCGTGGAATACGGTGGCATTGCTTACGAATCACACTTATCTCTTTGATGTTGTCTGCAGTGCTATGGGTAGTGCGGCGTTCTTTCGCTCCCCCGCGCCGCAGTCCGCCGATTCTCTAGAGACGTTTCCATCCGTCCTGTCCTTGTCGCCGCCGGCTATTACTGCGTGGGAACATCTTTTGTGTGCCGTGCTATTTCGTACCTCGGTGGAGGAGGCGGCTGCTTTGCGGCATGCGGTGTCGTGGGAGGAACAGTGCCGCGTCGAGGATGTCCTCGCCGAGGTGCGGCGCTGCACCCGTGCCTTGGTTGATGGACTGCTTCGCTGGGTTCCCGCATCCGCTGGGGTACGTCTTCTGCTGAGTCGCCACAGCGATGGCGATAGCCGCTGCTGCTGGGGCGGCAGTCGTGGTGGAATTCAAGTGGGGCTTTTAGACGTGGAGAATGTGTGGCGTGTGCAGCAACACCTCTTCTCGCTGCAGCGCTCGTGGCTATCGACGGACGAGGAGGGAAAATGTAGAGATGTGGCAATGGGCCTGCGAGCTGCTGCCAGAGGCGTGCGCGATGTTGACCCTCTTCGGGAGGCTTTGTATCGCACCCTTAGAGCGTTTCAGCGGCAGAGCGTTCATCTGTTGCGATGGGCTGCTGATAGCCACGGCGAGGCGTACACCGCCAGCACCCAACTACTCGTACGTGTGATGGCGGTTGTGGCACATATTGAGTTTTGTCTGGAGTCTTCGCCCCAATCGCGTGACACGGGTGCCCTGTATTGCCACGATGATGTGGAAGGCAGTCGTGGTGGTGGTGACGCGTCCGGACTGCCGTTCACGCCGGCGCAGCGGGACCACTTGGTGGAGATGCTTGCCGTTCTTATGCACCCCTGCAGCGACAACACTTCCGGCGAGGGAAGGCGCCTCGCCATGCACTGGCTGTGGGCACATTTGAGGGGAGAAACAAATGCCGCACTCTTCACTGGCCCCTCGAGGTTGTTGTTCCACGATTTTCTTGCCTCCTTTGCACACTGGTTGGTGCTGCACCTTGTGCCGGCCTTGATGGTGCACGTGAACGCGCTCTCCTGCGGCGACCAGGTGAATGCTGCGCCGCCGCCGGCTCGTTCAGTGCGAGTACGGTTTAACTGCGCTGAGGAGTCCTCTGCGGATGAGGCGGAGTTGCTGTCTGCGTCGTCCGTGACACCGCCACGCGTGCCAACCAAAACAGCACCCCACACTTCTTTTCCCTCCTCCTCAGCCGCCGTCATCGCAGCTCCTGCGGCTCGACGCAACGTGTTGCTAGAGATCACAATGACAGATTGGCTGTGGTGGTTGCGGCACAGGAGTGCAAGGGATAACGAGGCAGTGTGTGGCGTAGAGTTCTTCCCATCGCTATCCTCAACAGCCGCGAGGCTGCTGGGCGTGCTTGACTCCCTCGAGCTGTTTCGCCCGTTGCCAGCAGGCGGGGTTTGGCCGGTGTTGTCAGACAGGGTCTTCGAGCGTCATGGTGCGTGGGCGGTAGCGCATTGGGTGGTGGGCTGTAGCCACGCGGAGATTTTGGCGCTGCGTCAGGAATACGCTGGCGGAGCACCCCACGCCTCAGCCTCACGAGATCCAGTGGTGATGTTCACGCTGGGCGACTTTATCGCGCGCTACCGCCCCGTTGTGGATGCCGCACGTGTGTCGTCGCACCTCACCTCGCATCCACCTTGGCAGGAGGGCGATTCTGCGGGGGATCGGCAGTGGCGTCCACTCCCGCCCCTGTTCCACATATCCCTTGAAAATTTTAACGTTTTCTCGCCAATCATTCAGGCGAAGCTCATTTGTTCTGCGGTGACTGTGGACTACGCAGCGCATGCTTCTCCCAGAGAGGAAGAAGAAGCAGGGGTGTGGCGGCACGTTCCTTCGCAGAGACGTATGGATATCGGTGTGTTCAACAGTGAAGCAGTGCCGGCGAGAGAGGCGCCGTCGGTCGTCGTCATGGAAGACTCTGGACTCGTGAAGGTGTACGACGCTGGGGCCTTGGAGCAGCTTGAGGGGAGCCGCCTGCGTGGCCGGGCCAGGTTGCATGGGTGTGGCACACGCATTCTTCAGTCCTTCCTGCGTGCGTGTTGGTCGGTTCGGTGGAACTTTGTGCCGCTGCGACGCCGCGCCCAACGCCACGCGATCGTGCTTGTGCAGGCAGCTCTCCGCGTGCATGCGGCGGCGCTGACGGCAACACGACAAGTGCGGCGTTTGGTGGAGCAGCAGCGGCGCTGGGTAGAGGAGCGACGAAGCCACGATGTAACGCGGGAGCAACTCGTTCGTCGACTGGAGGCGCAGGCGGCGGGACGCGGGAACTGCGACGGCGATGCAGGCGACGCCATGCACGTGGCAAGCCCCGCGGCCCAAACGGCGGTGAGCTGGCCGGCCACACCATTGGATGAGCTGCTCGGGGCGCGTGCGAGACGTGTGCCGGATCCCGCGCTGGGTGTGGAGCGCAGGCTGAAGGAGGGTGGTGGCCCGGCAGCGCTGGATCTCCTGTTGCAAAAAGAAACATGGGTAGAGACCCACAGCCGCGGCGCGGTGTGTGACACGGAGCGAAAAGGGCGAGGCATCATACAACACGTGGAGGCAAAGGGGCGCAGGCAGCTATTTTTTGCTCTTGAGGACAAACTACGTGAGCGGTGGCTTTTGCAGGAGTACCGTGACCGACGTGCGGTCGTGCAGCGACAGATCAAGGAACATCACGAGTCTCGTGGGCGGGAGCAACGCCGCAAGTGGCAGAAGCAGAGGAAGCAGCAAGCGAAGGTGATGCAAAAGCAACGCGAGGAAACGCAAAGTCGGTCTTTTGCAACCAGGGCGCGTAACGAGGCACCGCGGCGTGTCGTTGCTTCGTCACAACCTCCCACTGCTGCTGCTACCACCGAGGTCACGTGCAGCGGCGCCTCTTACGCGCCGGACACTACGAACCATGACAACGCAGACGCCAGTGAGGTGGTCATCGTCATTGACGTACCGGGCGACGACGGCGACACGGACGGACCGGTGCAGGAACCGCAGCAGCTTCCTCGTGATGTTCATAAGCGCCCTGCAGAAGGTGCTAAAAACGTGGCACCGTCACGAAATACACGTGTGTGTGCGTCGCTGCGGTCTCCGCACGGTGGAGCTGCTGCGACAGCGAACTCCTGTCGTACCCCTCGGAGAGCGCTCAGGCAGCAGGAGCATGAGGATCGCACCTTTATTGAGCTCAGTCAATGCTATCGCTGGCACGTGTTGCTGCAGACCTGTGCGCTAGAGGGGGTTGCGCCGGCTGAGATGCAGCACCGCCGTCGCATCTTTCTTGCCTGTGCGCTGGAGCGGCAGGAGCTGCTGGCCCGCTGGCGCACGGTCGTGCTTCCCTATGGCCTCATCACAGAGGCGTTGCATGGCGACTTCCTTGCGGCGTTGGTGATTCTGCAGGACACCCCGCGGCGTCATGGACTGGCAGCAAGACGGCAGATGTCATCACGATTCCATCCCCTCCGCGTAAACACAACTCCCGCGGGGGTTCGGACGCAGCAGTCGCTGCCGTCGTCGTCGTGTCGCCGTACCGGTGGGAGGGGTTTTCCCCAGCTGCTGGGAAAGGACGGAGTGATGGTGGGTGGGAATGATGAGAATGCGGTCAGCACTGAACAGGTTGCCGACGCCAAAGCAAAGGCAGTGGCTCATCGGGAATTTCTTTGCAAGCCGAACTTTCAGCTGCTGGCAGGTCACTTTTCTAATCCTTACGCGTCGGATGCGGGGGCTGCGGTGACGGACCGCAGAGCGCCGGCGAAGGGAGGCCGGGGAACAAGCAGGCCGGGGAAAGCGCCCACCACGCGGAGACGTGTTGTCACGTGGGTTGACCTGCCACCGTCTTCGCCGCAGCAGCAGCCAACGCCGTTCGTGTCTTCCACATGAGGTCTCCGCGGTAAGAAATGCAGCACGGTTTACATATCTCTCATGTCTTTCTTTCTTTCTCTCTCTCTCTCTCTTGGGGGAGGAGGGGAGTGAAGAAATTTAGATGCAAAGAATAGAACTTCCTCGGCAGGCGTGGTGTGTAACGGAAATGAAATAAAGGGCGGTGCTGCAGAGCAACACGTCGTGGGCACTTTGCGGTCCTCTGTATTGCCTGTTTACTCCTTTTGTGCGTGTCTGCTATTATTGATGTTGTTGTTTTGTGGGGAACAGCGAGCGGGGGGCGAGTGAGAAGGGAAGAAGTATATATAGACATTAGTTTAGGATGCTACGCGTGACACGCGGGGGGCTTGGCGGCCAGCGGCGCTGGTGGAAGGAAGGCCGACCCGACTTCTGGCGCGCTAATGAGCGGCGCATGCGCTTGGAGCGGCGGCGCATCGACGCCAGCCGCTACTGCCCCCCGGTGGAGCCCACCCCGCAGCAAGCATGCACACTCTACAGAAGTCTGCTTAAGGCCGGCCACGCCCAACTCCGTGTGACGGACAAGGCGTACTACGCGAGAAAGGTGCGTCAGGAGTTTGAGGTGACGGCGCGGCAAACGAGTGCACGGGTGCGGGGCATCATGTACGAGCGGGGCCAATGGATGCTGCGGAACAAGTTGGGTGGGGTCGTTTGACACAGCAGCGACCTTTGTTTGTTTGCTTTCGAGGGTAATCAAAAAAAAGACGCTAATCGTCGCGATCATGGGTAGTGTGGGGGGGGAGGCGGGGGGTAATAGCGGTTCGGGGGTGTCGGCGGTGTCGGCAGTTCCGCGCGTTTCCTCAGGGGCAATTTCTGCTTGTTTATTTCTTTTCTTTTAGATATATATATATATATGGCTTCAACTTCTTCTTTCACTTTCCTCAACAATACGCTTGTACATAAATATACGTGCCGAAGTAGAACAATGGTGGGGAAGACATACCTGCGGTACATTGTTGGTCCGCAGGGAGGAGCGGTAGCAAGTAACGCATCACTGGCGCTCTGCAGCGTCGTTGCGCCGTTCTCGTATGCGGATGCGTCCGCGCGCCCCGGCAGCCACGGCGGTAATGGTGGAGGTGGTCGGAATGGGCAGCGCACAGCTGTGGCGGGGGCCGTCGTATTTGTTGCCAGCCTTGAGGCTGTGCGAGTCTATTCCGTTCGTAGTGGGGCACTGCAGCACACGCTCATACCGGCCGAGGCAAAGATGCCTCTGGAGGTCACCGTCATTCGTGTGCTGCCGCTGGAGTCTTCGACAACGGGGCGAAGTCATCTGGAGCGGGATGGGTGGATACTGCTTGTTGGCTACCACAACGGCCACGTCGCCGTCTTTTCGTGCGGGCCCACGAACAACTATGGCCTGCCCCTCTGCCGCTTCTACGCACTGGGGCACAAGGTGGACACAGCCGTCCTTGCCCTCGCCATCGGCTCCCGGCGGGCGTATATGTGTAGCGGAGGTCAAGACACCGACCTCACCGTCTGGGACCTCATGACGCAGGAGGCATCTTTCCGCCTACGCGGCCACCGTGGAGGCGTTGTCGGCATTGAGTTTGTCCCACGGAAGGAGGAGGACCGATTGGTTGTGACAGGCGCTGCCGACGGGCTTGTGAAGGTGTGGGACATTGCTCTCCGACAGTGTGTGCAGACGCTCGTCGCCTCCGACGCGCAGGTCTCATCGCTGCGGATGGACAGCGCGGGGCGCCGCCTCTACTGCGGGTTGCGAGAGAGCCAGCTGAAGGTGTTCAACACGGAGGCGCTACTGGCAGAGGACGCGTCGCGCGGGGAGGACGCGATGGCGGAGGTGGTGGAACACGGGAGCATCCAGCGCAAACTTCAGAAGCCTGTGACGTCCATGTCGTTTTCGCACGATGGGGCCTTCTTGCTGGCGTGCACGAGTAAAACAGTGGAGGTTTTCCGTGTGCTTACGCGAGAGGAGGTGCGGAGGAAAATATCCCGCAAGCGTAAGCGGCGTGCGGCGAGGAATGATGGTGCGGAGGGGGGCGAGGAGGATGACTATGAGGCGGTGGAGCCTGCAGAGGGAGAGGAGGTGGCTGGCCAGCACGATGGGGGCAAACACGCTGCCAGGGGTCTGGCAGCTGGCGCCAACGCCGCACCGGCCACTGCATCCGCGTCGGAGGAAGTAGTCCTCCTCCGTACCTTTTTTCTGGACCAGAAGGTGCGCAGTGCTTGTTTTATTCCACATGCCGGTAGCAGCGGCGGCGGCGGCATGCGGGATGCGGATCGCCTGCATATCGCAGTGACGTTCAACAATAACAACGTGTGCACCTACACCACCGCGCTGGCCACCACGGAGCTGGCAGGGGCCGCAACGTGGACGCTGGAGGACCTCAAGCCTCGTCACACGATGGAGCAACAGGGCCATCAATCTGACATCCGGCAGCTGACGTTTGTTGAGGACGACACCACACTCCTCTCGCTGGGCGCCGAGAAGGTGATGATGTGGAATGTGTCACTCAAGCCGCAGTACGATGACGTGGCGGCGGAAGGAGTGCACGATTTTTACGACGCAAAGGAGGCGAACGTCCACCACGCCGACGCCACAGGGACGCTCACGTGCACCGGCCACGTCGCAGTGGATGCAGCGGTCACCATGGCCGCCATCTCGGCAAGTCTCTGCTGTGTTGGGCTGCAGGATGGATCCATCCTTCTTGTGGATCCCCTGGCGTCGAACGTCATCTTCACCGAGCCGGAAGTGCACGTGGGCGGCGTACGACACGTGGTGCGGCGACCCGACAGCAGTGGTTTTATGTCCGTTGGAGCTGACCGTCGACTCATCGTCTGGACACTTGCGTTACTCAAGGATGCAGGCGATGCGACGCGCAAAAAGAAACAGGTTAATAACGATAATAAGGTTAATAGCAACGCCGCGCCACAGCTGCTTCAGTCTATGGAAATAGAGCTGACAGAGGCTCCTCTGTTTCTCTCCTTAAGCCCAGATAATCGATTTGTGGCCGTGGGTCTGCAGAACACAAACATTCAGCTCTTCTTTGCAGACACCATGAAGCCGTATCTGTCGCTCTTTGGGCACAAACTCCCACCGACGGCTGTGGCCTTTTCCTCGGATGGCACGCTTGTGGCCTCGGTGGGCATGGACAAATCCCTGCGTCTCTGGGGAACTGATTTTGGTGATTGCCACCGCGCGATTCACGCACACGACGACTACGTGACACAGGTTGAGTTCCTGCAGGACACACACCAGCTGCTGACCGTCTCACTAGACGGCTCCGTGAAGCACTGGGATGGGGATAACTGGACAATGATTCAGATGTTCCGACAGCATCAGCGCGGGGTCTGGACGGTGGCGGCAACGGCAAACGGCACCTGCCTCGCCACCGCAGGGATGGACAAGTGCATTCGCTGCTTCCTCCGCACGCAGGACATTGTCTTCCCGGCCGAGGAGGAGGAACGCATGGCGCAGGAAGCCATGGACGAGGAGGCTGCAAGGCGGGTGGCGATGCAGACGCTTGAACAGCAGAATCCGGAGGTTGCTGTGGCTGGACAGCTAACGACAGCCACTGCCGCCGCCGCCGAGAAACTTATGGAGGCACTCGACCTTGTCAGCGTGGAATTACAGCGCCGCGAAAACGCGGAGGACCTCACACCACCACACCCATTGCTGGCAAACAAGACAGTCTGGGAGTATCTCTGGTCCATCATTGAGAGTGTGCGCCCAAGTGAGGTGCGACACGCACTCTCCGCCCTTACAAGCACACATGTTGACGCCCTGCTCACCTATTTGGAGGCAATGCTGCGTGAGCGGGCCGTGTTGAACTATGAGATTGCGGCGAAGATCGTCCTCGCTCTCGTTGCGGCACCGCCTGGTCTTGCGGCCCTTGGCAACACCTCCCGCGCTGCCATAGCTGGTGAGATCTCCGAGGCACACGGTGCCCGCCGGCTTGCCGCGCTGCGTCGCATGATTGCAGAGGGGCTCGACCGCGCCGTGGGGCGCATGGACTACAACATCGCCGGATTGCAGTTCTTGCGGCACACCATTGAGGAGAAGGAAAAGACCCGCTTCTTTGACCTGAGCAAGATCCAGGGCCATAAGAAGAAGTACCACAGCCGCGCCCTTGCGGGCGACAGTGGCAGAAAGAATAAGGAATGACAACAGTGGCAGCCGCGGCGTCGTGTAAAAGGTGATGTGGCCGTAACTGAGGAGAAGAGTGGGATGGGTGTGTGTGTGTGTGTGTCTGCCTATGGCTCCTGCAGCTGCCGCGAGCCCAAGGCGTTCCCGGATACGGCGAGCATCTCAGTAAGGGCGCAGCACGGAAGGGGAAGGGCACTGCTGGAGCCTCACCCGGGAGGAATCGTTTAAAAAAGAGAATAGAAACGACGATGAAGCTGGAGGGAAACCACGAAAGAAAAAACAAGGGGGTAAAAGGCAAGAGGGTGTTTAAAAAAAAAAATGGCCTTTCGCCGCTCCGCTCTCACCTTTAAGTACTAAGGCACATCGACGTAAAATGGCAACGCGGCCGGGGTGTGGGAGAGCAAGGAATGAATTCGCAAGAGAGCGGACGGTCGTAATATCCGGTGTTTTCTCGTCACTGAATCCGAAGTGCCACACATCATATCACTTTCTTTCTCTCTCTCTCTTCTATCTATCTATCTCTCTCTCTCTCTGTGAAGATGCAGGCACTGTGGAAAATTACGTGTAGCTGCAGAATAGAAACAGGGGAAGACACACACGCATACACAACTTAGCAAGACGGGCCAATTGGGGCCTGGGCGCGCGCTATCTGCGGGTGCGTGATGGCTGGCGTTGAGCACTCACTGCTGCAGCTGCAACGCCTTATCGCCGGTGCACGGAAAGAGGGTAGCGGCGGCGGTGAGAGTGACAGTGACAAGGAACACGATAGCAAAACCTCAAAAGTCGTCAGAGTTGCCAAACTGGCGCGGCAGTTCGCCAGGCTGGAGGCGGAACTGTTTCGCCAGCAGGGTCTGCAGGATAAGGCCCGCGAGCTACATCAGCGCGCTGAGCGACGACGACGAGAGCAGCAAGGTCAAGGTCAGCGGGGGTTATGTCAAACCGAAACTGTGCCTGTGGAGGAATCTCGAAATCGTGCGTATGCTGCAATGGGCGCCGGCGACGCAGAAGCAGGAAGTACGAGTCGTGAGTTCTCCTCGCCCGGCTCAAGCTCACTGAACGGCGCCGCCACTCTCCTGCGGCAGGAAGCGCCAACCCGTGATGCACAGCAGCGTCTCAACGATGCAAGTTACGTGGGGGAGGCGGAGAACTCGTGTCGCGTGTACGGTGCATGCCACCGCACAAACTCCGCTGCACACCTCCTTGTTAACCTCACGGATGGAACAACGCGGCTGCAAGGGATTGGCGTGGGCTGCGGCTTAGGCAATAACAAGGATGCGATGTTGCGCGCCAGCGCCCGTTGTGTGCCATCGTATTCCTTTGCGCAGGCCTACGCAGGAGACGATCGGAAGCGGCTTATTTTCATTGTGGATCAGTTGTCTCGCATCCTGCGAGAGGAGCGGCGTCAGAAAGAGGTGCTGCTGCTGCGGGTTGTGGACCCAATGGTCCGACAGATTGAGGCGTTGGAGCGTGAGCTGGCGCGCCAACGATGCGAGAATGCGGCGCTGAGGCAGGAGACTGAGCGGCGCGTAGATTCCCGGCAGGCGTTGGGGTCAAGCGGTGTTGGAAGGAGCGAGAAGACGGACTCTGGTGGCGAGGACGATCGGGTCTTGACGCTCCTGCAGTACTGCGAGGAGCAACTCCTCCGGCTGACCGAGCTGCGGATGCTGAGGAAGTGAGTCTTGAGAAGAAGCGCTGCCGCATGTTACTATATATTTTTTTCTTTCTCCCTTCTGCAGTGTTGGGGGGTGGTGCATGCGGAGAATAATAGTAACCCGTTTTGGGCCTGGCGCACATAATGCTGAAGCGCGGTGGGACTACTTCTTTTTTTTTTTTTTCTTTTCATCATTGAGGGGGTGCTGCTGCAGTGCGACAAACTCCATTAGGAGCATGTGTGCGTTGTTGCCTCTCCCTCTCTTTCTCTCAGCCCCTGTACAGTACTCAAATTACTGCTGGTATGTTAGTGGCGGTGTGCATCAGAAGCAGGCGGGGCATCAACTTCTGTCTCGCTTTGTGTGTGTGTGCTTTACTTGCCGTTGAGTTTTGCGCGTATTCTATCGCCACTGACTTGCCTGTTTTGCTGTGCGTGTGCGTGTGCGTGTGGAAGCGGCAGGGCATAGCGGGGCCCAACACACATCGATTATATATATATATATAATCGATAGGGAGCATTCAATCCACCGTGGCCCTCTCTCCATTAATTTTTAAAAACGAGGCAAAACACAAGGAAAGGATAAGAAAGAAAAAACAAAAATAATAGAAGAGAAAAAAACAAAAAGAAAAAAAAATGGAAAAGATGGACCTCAATTTGGTGTCGACTCAAACTTTACCGCGGCGGCGTGCCAAGCGTGGGGTTTTTAATCTCCTCCGACGCAAAACGCGCGCGGTCACGCTAGGGCCGCGTCTGCTGGGCACGCGAGTGAAGCACCTGCTCCGTGATGAGCTGTACATTGACGTCGGCCTGCAGAGTGCCCCGTTGGTGGTGACGAAGGAGATTGCCACTCTTGAGCTCCTTGCGGCGTACCAATGCTGGATGCGCGGCGTCCAGGCGTTCTTGGCTATTATCGTATTTGTCCTCTCGCTACTCCCCTCAACGGCTGTGGTGGACTGGACCATTCTTGCCGTGTCGGGGGCGGCGGTGCTCATTATAATGCGCGTCTACTCCATCAAGGCTGAGTACACGGGGCTGACGAATGTGTTGTACGAAGACCACCGCAACATATTTACCTCCCCGTTTTTGCTGCAGATGCTGCTGGAGATCCTGATCTGGTGCATTCAAACTCCACCGTTGATATTCTTCTGGCGCCCCTTCTTCGAGCTTCTAAACTACTTTCTCTTCGTCCGTTTGTACGCCGTTGTGGTCTACGTTCACAACGCCGCGTACGTGTACCGATTTTTCTGCAGAGCTATGACCGCCGTGGCGGCATTCCCGCTCACCACCACCTTCACGGTGCGCACAGCGCTGGCGTACCGCAAGGCAAAGGTTGCGTCGCTTGCCACCGTGGTGTCGTGGGCCACTCTCTCCTTTTTGTACGCAAAGGCGGAGCAGGTGTCTCTGTACGATGGTTCCTGGTACGCCTTTCAGGCCATCAGCACGGTCGGATACAGAGACAGCACTCCGGTAACTGCGGCCGGGAAGCTTGTAGCGTTTCTGGCGTGGGTGGTCAGTTTTGCTCTGATTGCCTACCTGGTGGTCATCTTCCACAGGTCGCTGGTGGATGACACGAACGAGCATAACATGTACATCTTGATGCGGTGCCACAGGCTTTCCCACGTGGTGCGGGAGGACTCGGCGCGCGTCATTCAAACCGCCTGGCGCTTTCATCGTCTGCACAGTTATCCACCAGCGGGTGTAGTGCGACGCGTCAAGGCGTTGTTTTGCGCGTGGGATCTCGCACGTCGTATTTCGTGGTTGCGTCGTGAACGGCAGGAATGGATGGACGCGACGCAGCGTTTTCGCGCGATCCCCTCGACTGGAATACTGGAGCCAGAGCAGGAAGAGCAACTGCGTCAGCTGCTGCGTGCTGCCCAACAAGCCCAACAGAAGGCTGACGTGGAAGCTTTTTTTCGAAGCTGTGTTGAGGGCCGAGACACGCTGCCAACGCGGCAAGAGGTGGAGCGGGCTGTCACAGGCAACGCCCGGGTAGAGAACCTCTATTCAAGCGCCACAGATGTGCTAGGTGGTGCGGGGGCAATGATGGCTAACGTAGATGTGTCGAGTCTTTTGAAGAAGGTGGAGATGTTAGAATCCAATTGTAGTCGTCTCACGATGGCGATGGAGGCCTTAGCTGTGATGGCCCCAACTAACCCTCCTAGCCTTGCCCAATCACATTCTTGAAACCGATGCAGCACGCATGGGTTGAGAGGAAGCTCAGGCGTTGGCGCTTTTTATGATTCATCTTTTGTTGTTGTTTTTTTGTCTGAGAGAACGAGATTTGCTTTGATAGTTCGTGCTGCCGTTGGCGTTGATGGGGGGTCATTGGGTCTTCTCTTGCCAGCGCGTGTTGTAACGTCATTTTATTTCCCTCTCTGCACTAGCCTTCCGTCCGGTGTTGCATATTTTATTTATTATTATCTACTCTCTCTCTCTCTCTCTCTCTGTGTGTGTGTGTGAACGCGTTGTTTTCTGGTGTATGACTATCCTGCCCACGTGTATCCCTCACAATTGGGCGGATGTACAGTATTTTAACTCTGAGTATTTTTTGTTGTTGTTTTGGATATTTGAAGGATTTTCCCCGTTTGGTGCGTGTGTCTGCGCATGTGTGCTCCTGTGGGACAGTGAACAGAGGAGGGAGCGAGGGAATTTTGAAAGGGCCTTCTCTGCCTGTCTTCCTTTTGGTGTCTTCTTTGACGATGCTGCGGCTGTGTGCCTGGGCGCAGTCTTCTTATCGCCGGCGAAGGTGGCTGGGGAAGGACCCAACACACAGACAGGGTTGTTGTTATTGCTGTCGTGAGGGGCGCGGGCGATTGGTGGGGCCACAAACTCGGGTCTCGGTACATAATTTATTTATTTTATTTTTTGTTTTTTTATAGGGGACAACGATCACCCATGGAGCTTCGTGGGCGCGCCGAGCGGCTGATCAGGCCACAGACACTTACCGCTATTCCACCCGTGACGGCCAGCGTTGGTAATTTAGCAAACATGGAGCGCCTGCACGCCAGTCGCCGCTGGTTGCGTGGAGTAATGTGTTTTTTAGCAGTTTTCTGCTACGGCCTTGCCCTCTTCGACAAGGGCCGAGTTATCACGCACTTCATTATGCTTGTTTTTTCACTCGCGGCGGAGGTAGCCATTGCTTCCATCTACCGCGGGAAGGCGAAGTTTCACGGTCTGACAAATCGGGCGCATGGGAAGAAAGGTGTGGTCAGTGTGTTTCACTCGCCTTCGCTTTGTTTGATGCTCTTGGAGATGCTCGTGTGGGTCCTTCAGTGCCCGCCTCTTCCGGACGACGTGAGCACTGAGTGGCTTGTAGGACTGGATGGTTTTCTGCCCCTTCGCTTCTACGTGTTTC